ATGTAGCGTGATCTAGTCAATGGAGCTGCCATCTATCGACGCCTAGATACAACCCTCCTTTTTATTTTGTAAAAATCCGATATTTTTCTCGTATTACTCCCCTTGGCACTCGATTAGTCTTTTTGATCGCCTAGATACAACCGATTTCTTATTTTGCGTAGCGGTTGGAATCCTTGCTTATGAAATATTGCCATTTACCTCTGGTGGCGCTATCTTTTGGAATTTCAAAAACCATTCTAAAGATTTCTTCTTATTGGAAAAGGCTGGCAGAAGATTATCCGTAGTTCCTTAAATATTTTTCATTCGCACAATCAGGTTGTATTCCTTAAGGTATCCTATATAATTTATATACATTTCAAACACAAGTATTTTTTTCAAACTATATCTTTGCCTAAGAGCGTTTTTTTAAAATGACTTCCTTGAAGATGTATTCAAACACATATTTTCCATATTTCAGATATTGAAAAAATGACCTTGAAAATTAATAATTAGTTCAGGAAAAATAATAATTTCTGAACTTTTTATTGCGATTCCATTGAAATTTAAATGGGTTTATCGCTCTGTTGACCTGGCTACCTAAACCTTTTTAATTGTTTTCATTTGAAAATCCAGTCTTGGTTTTCTTTTGGCATCGAAATTTTCTTCTTTCCTAACTTCAGACGCTTGGGGTCCTTTAAATTTTAGCTAGAGCTTTATTCGAACCTTAAACATTTTTTATTATTAAATTGTCCCAAATTTATCATATGATACTCCTAAAAGTATGCAAACATTTCAGTTTGTTATCGATATGAATATAAGTATGCAGTTGTTTTTGTTGTTTTTTTTTTTTTATTTCACATGAACTAGTTGGTGTGTCTTGTTCATTGTTTTTATATTTACTTCTTGGTTTTGTACGTATTGTACACAAAAGAAAAATATTTACTTTCAATGTAGTCAAGCAGAACAGTCAATTCTAAGACAGGCAGTCAGTTTTTATGCTAAGAAAGAAATAGAACGTACACTCGAGGCTAAAAGTTTTAACACTGTAAAGTATTACAAAAATGTCTAAATATATGACAAGGTTTTATACCCTATAAATAGCTTTAGTTAGCCTCTAAAAATATTCTTCATTTTAGGTGTTTTATAATTTCTTTAAAAAATTTTGCATACTTTTTTGCTGTGGTGTATAATTTTACATATGTGTGTTTGCATGGCTTTGTGTAAACAATTTCGAATTGTGCTTTTAAATAAACAAACATAAGACAATATTTTAAAATATTCTTTGTTTAACAGGTTAAGTAAAGATTCTTGTAAAATATTCGCATGAAATTGATATTGAAGTTAAAGGTTGTTTCCGTTTTTTTTCGCATTTTCAAGTTTACACTGAAAATTGTAAAGTAAATACTGCAATTTCTTAGGAGCATTGGGAAAGATTTAAGTAGCCTTGCTTGAAGTAATAATACATTTACACTAAATGAATATAAAATGAGCTAAGTGGGGATTTATAGAATATATTGGTTTCATAAAGATCGGGGATTAAAATTTATCAAATATAATGATATTTGACACGAGTACACTTAATATATATTTTAGAGATTAAATAAAAATATTTTTTTGATTAAATGTAAAATAATTGCATATTTTTAGGTGCTTCAATTATTGTAATTTAATTTGTAATAACAATAGCATTTTAAAAATTTATAAGGCAATTCTTTATTTTAATATATTTTACTTACATAAAATCCACAATGTATCATTGTTTTTTTATTTTTCCGGTTTTTAAAGGCTTTTAGAAAACAACAGAGAGAAAAATTAACAACTCCATATTTCATATTTTAATAAACAGCCTATCAACAAAGTCTAATTAGTTTTCTGGCATTTTTCCCCGTCTGTAATCTAACAAACCACAGCTTATTACTTAATTAACAAATTGATTTATTATAATGAAGCAAAAACAGACAGACAATATCTCAAGAGAGTACTCATTCCATAGGTGGCAAATCAAATAACGAAAAAATGATATTGTTTAGCAAACTCATATGCAAATTGTTACATTTCGCAACAACAATGCCCAAAAATATTTAACCCATCACAGAGATTCATTCATTCATCCAGCCTGCCTGCCTGCCACACAAAAAGTTTAACGATGTGAACTGACATTTAATTAAGGTAACTTAACAACCATAAACCAACCATGGCATAGAAACTTTTTGGCCTTAGTTCAGTTCAAATGCGTAGACAATTTCCCCCTTGTAATATTTGGTTCGAGTAATATAGAGAACAATACCATAAATGAGTCTAATTAATAATGCGGTGTTTACCACATTATTCAACTTGTGAAAGAAGAGATAGAGAAATAATACAAATTTCATTGCATAATTTTGGGGGTTAGAGCTTACAAAAAGCTTGTTTTTATTTTTTTCGATAAGAGGTCTCAGTTGTTATGAGATTTTAAGCATTTAAACTTTTTAAGGATTTATTTTGAAATTTCGGATATGTTAATCTCAAAAAAATGACCACAACATGAGGGTGTTGGAATGATTTATTTACATAGATTTGAAGATTTATTACAGGTGTTATATAACATACAAATTGTGAAAGAAATAAATGACTAATAGCCATATAGCCATATTCAGAAAAAATAAAGAAAATATTATTTGGTAAAAAACTGGGAAAAAACAACAACAAAAAATTAATAAAATAAAATTACAATATTTAAAAATAAGTTTCTATATAATAACCAACATTATTAGAAAAGTTGCATACTTTCAGGAGGTATAATTCTAAGGTTAGGCGTGGATTTTTAAAAATATTTTTTCAACTTCCTTATTTTTTCTAATGTCTGCCAAAGGAGTAAATTTTTTATAAAATATGTTTTCAAGTTCCTTATTTTTTCAAAGGTCTGCCGAAGGCGTGGATTTTTTAAAAATATTTTTTCAATTTCCTTATTTCTTCAAAGTTCTGCCGAAGGCGTGGATTTTTTAAAAATATTTTTTCAATTTCCTTATTTTTTCAAAAGTTGCCGACGGCGTGGATTTTTTAAAAATATTTTTTCAAGTTCCTTAGTTTTTCAAAGGTCTGCCGAAGGCGTGGATTTTTTAACATTATTTTTTCAAGTTCCTTATTTTTTCAAAGGTCTACCGAAGGCGTGGATTTTTTAAAAATATTTTTTCAAGTTCCTTATTTTTTCAAAAGTTGCCGAAGGCGTGGATTTTTAAAAAAATATTTTTTCAAGTTCCTTATTTTTTCAAAAGTTGCCGAAGGCGTGGATTTTTTAAAAATATTTTTTCAAGTTCCTTATTTTTTCAAAAGTTGCCGAAGGCGTGGATTTTTTAAAAATATTTTTTCAAGTTCCTTATTTTTTCAAAGGTCTGCCGAAGGCGTGGATTTTTTAAAAATATTTTTTCAGGTCGCTTTTTTCCAAAGGTCTGCCGAAGGCGCGGATTTTTTAAAAAAATTTTTTCAAGTTCTTTATTTTTTCAAAAGTCTGCCGAAGGCGTGGATTTTTTAAAAATATTTTTTCAAGTTCCTTATTTTTTCAAACGTCTGCCGAAGGCGTGGATTTTTTAAAAACATATTTTTCAAGTTCCTTTTTTTCAAACGTCAGCCGAAGGCGTGGATTTTTCAAACGTTTGTTGAAGGCGTGAAAATATTTTTTCAAGTTCCTTATTTTTTAAAGGGTGGCGAACGTCTGCTGAATGCGTGGATTTTTTAAAAATAAAATTTCAAGTTCCTTATTTTTTCAAAAGTTTGCCGAATGCATGGATTTTTTTGAATGGCATATCTTTTTGGCGGTAAATGGTAATAATTTACATAAAACATCGAGCGCCACCACAAAAAATTGGTCATGGACTATTTACGAAAAACCTCCAGCAAAATCCAAAAAACATGCCCCTCAAACTCTCTATAGATTCTACCTCTCAGTCAATAGAGTATTTATATACGAAATAAATTTATATCGACTACAATTCATTTTATAAAATTTCCCCTTTCGAAAATTCATTATGAATACCAAATTCCCCTAACCGTTTCGAAATTTAGCATTTTTACAAAGAAATATTGAAAACTTCCCCTTTTATCACGAAATTCGAACATCTATATAAAAATATATCTTCATTCAAAAATTACTTCCCCATGGAGTGTTTCGAAAACATTCGATGTCAATTTTCAACTCCTCAGTGCTCCTGGTGTAGTAAATGTGCTGCGTGTGTGTGTGATGAAAGTAATTTGAGAGCGAGAGTGACAAAATTACACGTGATGATTATTGTTTTAGAAGAGGGCTCTCAACATTTTGTCTGTCAACCGAAAAATAACAACAAAACAAAACATTGTACTACTGTTGTTGATAAGATTAGTTAAGTGGCAGTCACAACGACTGGCGAACACAACGTCGCATGGACGGACAGGCAGACTGAGTTCGACACCAAATGACATGACGGAAGAAGCAATGCATAACGTGAAATTGTTTTTGTCTTTTCCTCTGCCACAGAGTAAACGTGAATTTCACGTGAGTTTTTGTGCAAGGACTCTTGCTTTTCTCTGTTTTGCGCTCTCTCACTAGCACGTCTCTCAATTATTGACTGTGTGCCAACAATGTCAGGGGTTGGAGTTATGAGGGGGTGACTTTTCCCTAACTTTTGGGTCTCGAGTATGTGTCGCTGCGTGTGTTTTTGTGGCTTTACAACCACAATTGTTTCAATTACAATTTCCATCAGTTGTGAACGTGTCAGAAGAGTACGCAACCCCCCTCTTAGCTTGTTGCTTGTCCTGACACAACAAGGAAATGCTATAAATAGCGTGGTGTATCAGTTCCGTGAGTCAGTCTCATGTAGTTGTTGGTGCAAACAAGACGTGCATGGAGTGTATAGCAAATTGTAGCATAGTGAACTGAAAAACAAAAGAAAAGCGTACAAAAACGAAAGAATTTACGAAAAAATACCAAACAAAGTACAAATTACGTATATAAGTTGGAAATAATTTTATATTGTTGGATACATAGAACGAAGAAGACTATCAGCAAAATGGCTATTCCATTCTTTGAAAATGAGGAACAAGAGATGCTGCATCAGCAACCATTGCAACAGCAGCAAACATATTCATCTGAAGAGGTGGATCAAGTGGATGGCCACATCATGCATAGCCCGCCAATTGTAAATAATATCGAAACCCCGCCAAGTTCTCCAATGCCAGTACCCACTCCCAATCCCACAGAAGGAGATGTTGCCGCCTGGAAATTGCTAGCTTTGGCCATGTGTAAAGCTCTCAAGGATCACTATCAACAAAATATGCTGCCATCAAATGATAATGGGTCTTCAACGGCGATAATACAAATTTTACCCAATGGTCAAGTGAAGCCTTCCTGGAACTAAACTGCCATCCTTGTAGAAAATAAACAAAATAGTTCCTTGCTTGAATAAAAAATTGGAATAAAGCTCGTTAAAAGCAAAATTGTGATGTCATGAAAAACAAAAAATTGGAACATTTCCCAAGGAAATATATTTGCCAGAGGATTCCTGTAGTCCTGCTTTGTTTGTTTGTAAAGTGTGTACAGGGGCAAAAGAAATTGTTGCCGTCGGCAAGTAGTGCCCTCCAATGGAAATGATACAGAAACAGAAGTGATGGTGGTAAACCAAAAATCAAAGGATTTAAATTAAATCCTTGACAAATTGAGATAAGCACAAATGTGATAGTCAATGTTTATATATTTTTAACCAAAAATAACTATATATAACTTACAATGTAGATATTAAGAAACAAAAAAATCGAATCTATATATAAAACTATACAATTTTTTCAAAACTCTCTGTGTGTCTATTTTATACTCGATATATTTAAACTATACAATTTACATATACCTATAAAAATAATATTAATAATTTTCATACTAACTAAGGCTTTTTTACAAAACTAAAAAAAAACAATCATAAAATTGTATTTATTATTTGCCAGTAGTTCATATCATCTTCTCTAAATGTATTGATGTTTTTTTAGTTTTTTTCGTAACCACTATAATCAACACTTTTAGTTTTAAGTAATAATTGAACTAGACCATTTGTTTTCAACCTAATGAGTTTCATTTTGACATGAGCATACGACAGTACAATGATATATAAGAGACATTTTGTAAAGTATTTTAATTTTAGAAAATAATTAATTAATAATTTTATTGTAATAAATTATAATTTTTAAAAAATGAAAAACATTTTACAGAAATATTTGTATTAAAAGAATTACTACGAAAATAAAATAATATAATTCAGTTAACATTGATTGTTTGATTTTATTAATAAATGTCTAATGGGATTTGAATGACAAAAATATTTCACATCAAGGCTATGACAGCATATAACAATTATATAATTTGCATAACTTTTCCGAAATACGAGAGGTTTGTAAAGACAGCAACGTCGAATAGATTATTATTATTTAGCACCTAGAAGTATGCAATGAAACTGATTTGAGAGGTAAAAGTATGCAAAATTAAATACAATGGCTTTTCAGACAGTGATATGATTCAATAAGAATATGTTTCTTATATAAAAACTTAAAATTTTCTTAAAATTCACAGCTCTATTTAATTCTACAAATTCTACGAAAATTCCGACGGCTTTCTTTACCACCCGGAAATAAAATATCCAATTAAAGAAGTAGCGTCGGAAATAAAATAATGAGTATATGTAAAAGGTATTCAATATATAATAACATGTTATATTGTAATAAAACTCACCAGTTATATATTCATTAAATAGATTGCCGAAAAAATAAAACCGTTTTTCAATTTCAAGTACAAAAACAACTGTGTATATAATGGCACTTTTTAAATTTGGTGACTTTTTGTACCAGGTTTATTATAAAAAAGTCAACAAATTTTAAAAAGCTGTGTCATTATGTGCACAGTTGTTTTTGGACTAGAAATTGAAAAACGTTCAAAATGACCGCCTTCGGCAATCTAGTGTTAATATTCCAAAAGGTAAAACATTATTCCTCAAACTGTAATATTCAAGAAAATGACAAAGGGAAAATATTTCGATTTCCTGTGTCCTTATTATTAGTAATAGAAATAGTTTTATTTAATATTTTAGGGTCTGCGTAAAATTCCGATTGTCGTCGTTGCTCACTTCTTCCGATTATATCATATAGTAAAATTTAATTAGATCCACATAACTTGAGAAAGAGGCCCTTCTTTAGTCAGAGCTTTAAATATAGGCACGCATATTTATTTACAAATTGTATTTTTTATTCACCTCGGGAAAACAAGATTTGAAAAATATGTCAGGGTTAGAAAGTGGAGCTGTTGACCTATAATTAGTCAAGAGGGTGCAAATAATTCCCATGCTCCGAATATAGAACCGCAGAAAGTTAGATTTTCGTGGTAGTTTTGTGAATATCATAGGGTCGGCTCCGTCCGACTATACTGCTCCGCTAACTGGTCTTATTTGAAATTCTGCAAATGAAAAGAATTCTGCTTGTGGAATCTTATTAATTCCGTAATTCTTGAAGTAGATCATACATAACGATATGGGCATTTTGAAGTCCGTAAGTTCAGGATCTTACTTTTAATTTTCTTTTGGGAGACCCAAATTGTTGTGTAGAAACCAATTGGAAATATTCATTGAATGTATTCACCTTCATCAGCAGATTTGGAATATGGGTATTAAATTGAAGCCAATTAAAAATTTTTACGAATTATTATAACTAATGGCATGACATTCTACGACTGTAAACCTGCCTTCTTCAAGAATTTGAGAAAACATTGTGTGATAGATTAAACACTTCATGTTCAAAAAATACCTACTCTCCTAATACCTGCTTTATACTAGGGTGGAAGGTATATTAAATGTCTTTCTTTTAAACAATAAAAAATATATGTTCTTTCTCAACGTACAATATGAAATAAACTAGTCAGCCTAGATTTGCCCATTCCACTACGAGTAGAGTCCCCTTTTAGTTTTTCTCCCTGTGGAAGATCGAAGACCTGAAGTATGCTTTCTGTCATCGCCTTTTGAATTTGAGAAATGTCTATTTTCTTCACCAGCTTCAGTTGTATTGTTTTGTTCAGGGGGAAAATGGAATTCTCAGTCTTTATTAAAGATTCCGATGCAGCGCTCGTCTATACTAGAGTCAGCTTCAACCGTCTTCAGTCGATAGATTCTTGTGGCAGTCTCCTTCATCTATCACCTCCAGTGGGTCTTCTTTTTTTAATTCACCTTAGTCTTGTTTCTTTCCGATCATTTCATAGCAGAACTCTTCTCTGTAGCGTCTGCTGGAAATCTTCGCATAAGACGGCGCTTAATACTCATTATTGCTGCCCTTTTCCTTTTTCGTAAACGCCAGTTCGACATTTCGGAATTCCCAGTCATTATGGAAGATTCCAGCTTTATCGTGACAGTCTCTTCCAACTTCGAGACCTAATTCTCTCTGATGCTTCAGAGGGAAGTTTGCTGTGGCAGTCTCCGTTTCATCTATCACTTCCAGTCGCGCCCCGGGGTATTCTTCACCTTAGTTTAGCCAAGCCTTGTTAACTTCTTCAACCAATTTATTAACATCTTCACTCCTCCGACACGCTGCGGCAGTAATTTTGGCTTTACACTCATATTAAGACTCGGAATTTCATGTTTAGTCTCTGCCTGTCTCCGAAATATGGGTGAAAATTGTTTTTCCCCTGTGGTTCTCAAACTCACATTCATTTTTCTTGCTGCCTGCGTGCTATACCCTCGACTACAGATGCTAAGAGATGTTTACAGGAGATGTTTGCTTACGATCGCAGAATAACGGCGGGCGTGACTCTTTGGTAGACCAAGGACACGCGCCGTGTCTGAGTTACAGTCTCTGCTAACTTGGATCTTATTCTCTTCGATGCTTCGGAGAGAAATTGTTTCTCTGTTTCATCTTGCCAGTTTCCACTTTCGCGCCCGGTAAATGCTTTTTCCTTTTCTTGATTCTAGCCATGTCTTGTTAACTTCTTCCTCCAATTCATTAACATGTTCACTCCTCCGACATTCTGCGGTGGTTATTTCGGCTTTACTATCATATCAAGACAAGGGATGGTCCATGTGACGAATTTTTAGGTTTTCGACCGTCAAAAAGGTGTAAACGTCGAAAACGTCATATAGCAGTATAAAATGTAATAAATGTAGAAAATGTTATTTATTTCAATATTATCACCATATACAGTTATTTCCAAGAATATATATTATTTTTACATATATCCGACTACTCTTTACTAGAATTGGTTAAAAATTCCTAACTTTTTTAAGAAGAAAAATTTGAAATTTTATATGGGTTTGAGCAAAGCATGCGTAATTTCCAAATTATTTAATGCAAAAGCCATTTTGTCAAAGACCTAATGGTTTTGGGTGGATTTCCGACGTTTCTGACGTATGTATTATACGTCGGAAATGTATGTCATTTACGTCACTGTTTCTGACGGACCAACTCTGATTAAGACTCGGAATTTCAGGTTTAGTCTCTGTCTGTCTCAGAAATCTGGGTGAAAATTGTTCTTCCCCTCAAACTCACATCCATTTTTCTTGCTGCCTGCGTGCTTGTAGCTATGCCCTCGACTACATATGCCTAGATATTCATATCTCTAGGAGATGTTTGCTTAGCTTCGCAGAATAACGGAGGTGCGTGACTCTTTGGCAGACCAATGACACCCGCCGGTACTGAGTTATATAGGCTCTTAACTGGAACATTATTATTCGTATATCCTTTAGCCCGGTAGGATACTGACAAACTGCCTCTTTTCATATTTTGATAACTTATATGTAGAAGTATTTTAATGGCATTTAAGATCATTCTGCTGAAAGGGTTTGTAAAGGATACTCAGTACTTTACCGAATAGTAAATGAAAGCCGTCGGAAAATACACATTCAATTCAAAATATTGTTTCCACATTTCTATTTCATAAATGAAAAACGATTATTTATGAAATAACATAAAAAGTGTTTCGGCAATTCCTCTGAGAATTAATTCAAATCAACTCCAAAAATCATTGTCAACAAGACATTTGGCCAACGGCAATTGAACATGAAAACTGTTGAGAAGGACATGCCAACAATATAAATTCCTAGCTTTACAAAGTCCAGTGCAATGTAATAACAACTCCAACAATTTGTGTATAAAAAGCAACAACAACAATGTTTTTTATTTCTTCCTTCAAAAGTAAATCCTTAACGTTTACCTACGCAACGACATAAAAAAATGACGGAAAAATATCCTCGTTAGAAATAAAAACCATTAAAAAATATGAATGAATTGGATGTTTGCAGATGAATGGGGTGGGATGTTAACGGGCTTTGTGAAGCGTTCTTTTCCTCCATCTCTTTCTCTCGAATAATGTATGCAAAAAGAAGCCAAAGAAAGACAT